TAAGCGATACTTCCCATACTGGCTGACTTCCTACTCAAAACATCGGCTACCACATTGGCCTTTTTCCGAATGATATAAGATGGTGATATCATAGTCCTTTAATAGCTCCAACCACCTTCTCTGCCTCAAATTTAGCTCTTTATGCTTGAACAAATACTGCAGACTCTTGTGATCCGTGAACACCTCACATGCCACGCCATATAGATAATGCCTCCAAATCTTCAACGCGTGGACAATGGTTGCTAACTCCAAATCATGAACCGGATAGTTCTTCTCATGAATCTTCAACTGTCGTGAAGCATAGGCAATGACCTTGCCATCCTGTATCAATATCGTACCATGTCCAATACGAGATGCATCACAATAAACTATATAAGGCCCTGAACCTGTGGGCAAAACCAACATCGGCGCCGTAGTCAAAGCTGTCTGGAGCTACTGAAATCTCACCACACACTCGTCCGACCACCTGAACTGGGCACCCTTCTGGGTCAACCTGGTCATCGGGGCTACAATAGATGAAAACCCCTCCACAAACCGACGATAGTAGTCTGTCAGACACAAGAAACTCCGAATCTCTGTAGCTGATGCGGGTCTAGGCTAGTTCGTGACTGCCTCTATCTTCTTCGGATCAACCTGAATACCCTCTACTGATACAACATGACCCAAGAATGCAACCGAACTCAACCAAAGCTCACACTTCGAAAACTTAGCATACAACTGACTATCTCTCAAAGTCTAAAGAACCACTCTCATATGATGCTCGTGCTCATCCCGGCTGCGGGAATAGATCAAAGTATCGTCAATGAAGACTATCACGAACGAATCCAAGTAAGGCCTGAACACTCGGTTCATCAAATCCATAAAAGTCGTTGGGGCATTTGTCAACCCGAATGACATCACCAAGAACTCATAATGCTTGTACCGAGTGCAGAAAGTTGTCTTAGGGACATCGGATGCCCTAATCCTCAACTAATGGTAGCCAAATCTCAAGTCAATCTTCGAAAATACCTTGGCACCCTGAAGCTGATCAAACAAATCATAAATCATTGGCAATGGATACTTATTCTTGATTGTAACCTTGTTCAACTGCCGGTAGTCTATACACATTTGCATCGATCCATCCTTCTTCTTAACAAACAACACTGGCACACCCCAAGGAAAAACACTAGGTCTAATGAAACCTTTTTCCAGCAAGTCTTGCAACTGCTCATTCAACTCTTTCAACTCAGGCGGGGCTATACGATACGGCGTAATAGAAATGGGTTGAGTTCCCGGAGCCAAATCAATGCAGAAGTCAATATCCCTGTCGGGTGGCATACCCGGCATGTCTGAAGGGAATACCTCAGGAAACTCACGAACAACAGGCACATAATCGATAGAAGGAACCTCGGTACTAGAATTGCGAACATATACCAAATAGGCCAAACACCCCTTCTCGATCATACGTCGAGCCTTCGTATATGAGATAACACTACAGGTAGAATGAACAGGAGTCCCTCTCCACTCAAGACAAGGCAACCCCGGCAAGGCTAAGGTACCGGTGAACACGATCTACTACAATAGAATCACCTACTGGTGTAGACACATAAATAGGAGCACTCAAAGAATTGATAGGCATGACCAGATATGGCGTAAAATAAGATGACACATAAGAGTATGTAAATCCTGGATCAAATAAAATTGAAGCACCTCTGCTATAAACCAAAACAGTACTTGTACCTCCACCTCTAATACCTCTACCTCCACCTCTAGTACCTCTACCTGCACCTCTAATACCTCTACCTCCACCTCTAGCTGGCTGAGCGGGCTGAACAAGTCCCTTAATGAACCTCTCTCTCTCTCTCTCTCTCGATGGGAAGTATAAGAAGAGCATGACGAGTCAAATCAATAAACTTGGTCTCGTATTGAGTAACAGTCATAGAACTCTGCTGGAGATGCTCAAACTACCACGGATAGATCTCTCTCTGAGTGACAGGAAGAAACTTCTCCAGAAATAGCTGAGAAAACTGATCCCAAGTCAAAGCTGGTGACCCAACTGGTCTATCCAAACAATAATCTCTCCAACAAGTATTGGCGGATCTAGACATGCGAAAAGTAGCAAAGTCGACCCCATTGGTCTCTACTATCCCCATATTCCTGAGAACCTCAAGACGGCTGTCTAAATATTCCTGGGGATCCTCAGAAGATGCACCACTGAAAGTGGTAGTAAAGAGCTTGGTGAAACTTATCCAACCTCCACAAAGTTTCCGAAAACGTAGCTGATCTATCACTGGTCTATGTTGCTGCTCGGCTGAAGAAGCGGTACGTCACCTCGCCATTAGCAAAAGGACAAGAGTACAGGTTTCAATTTAGCATTGGGAGAACAAAATCACATGATATAGAAGAATAGAAGTGAAACTTTTCCTAACTTTGTAGACTCTAGAGATAAATACAGACGTCTCTGTACCGATCCCTCAGACTCTACTAAGCTTATATGTGAGTTGTAAGACCTATGTAACATAGAGATCTAATACCAACTTATCACGCCCCGAATTTTCCACCTCGTGAGTCGTGATGATGCCTACTTGTGAAAGCTAGGTAAGCCAACCAACCGAACTATTTACCTTGTTTCCATTTTTAATCCGATAATAGTTAAGAGCCAACAATTAGAAAATAACAGAATCGAATAAGAGGAAGGTTGCATTGTAAAATTTTAATAATACTACTAATACCAATCCATAGCAAATCTACCCAAGACGGTTGTCACAACTTCACATACTGTCTAGGAGTACTACAAATAAAGGTATGAAAGAAATAAATACAACACTGTCTCTAGAAATACATGAAAGAAACATGAATAGTAGATAGAAGGAGATGCCAAGGCCTGCGGATGCCTGCAGGACTACCTCGGGTCGCCTGATGAACAAAAGACAACAATCTTACTGCGGTTCAAAATTCTACAGCGCTAGGATCTGCACAAAAGAGTGCAGAGTGTAGTATCAGCACAACCGACCCCATGTGTTGGTAAGTGCCTGACCCAACCCCGGCGAAGTAGTGACGAGGCTAGGACCAGGCTACTAACTAAACTTATGCAGTTATGTTATCTACAGCGGAAAATAAACAGAAATAAACAATTAAAGATGATAGGGGGACATGATGCGGGGGAATATCATTTATCAAAAGCAATTCAAGAGAAAAGCATAAAGACAATTTAGAATTCACAGCAAAAGAATAAGAAAAACGTAACCAACCAATAAACACTTTTATTTTCTGCTATTGCGGCACATAACCCGATCCAAATAATAAAAATATTGGTGCAGTGTGCGACCCGATCCATATCATTTATCACTGTTGCGGCGTGCAATCCGATCAAATTATATTGTTGTTGCGGCGTGCAACCCGATCCAAATATATTATTGTTGCAGCGTGCAACCCGATCCAAACATAATATTGTTGCGGCGTGCAACCCGATCCAAATATATTGTTGTTGCGGAGTGCAATCCGATCCAAATATAATATTGTTGCGGCGTGCAACCCGATCCAAACATAGCATTGTTGCAGCGTGCAACCCGATCCAAATATAATATTGTTGCGGCGTGCAACCCGATCCTAATATACAATTCAACACCAATCACAATGGAGCCCCGACAAGGCAACAATAAGGTAACGACAATATCTTGGANTGTTGCAGCGTGCAACCCGATCCAAACATAATATTGTTGCGGCGTGCAACCCGATCCAAATATATTGTTGTTGCGGAGTGCAATCCGATCCAAATATAATATTGTTGCGGCGTGCAACCCGATCCAAACATAGCATTGTTGCAGCGTGCAACCCGATCCAAATATAATATTGTTGCGGCGTGCAACCCGATCCTAATATACAATTCAACACCAATCACAATGGAGCCCCGACAAGGCAACAATAAGGTAACGACAATATCTTGGAAAGGGAATCAATAACATCATAATAGAATCAAGTAACAACAGAAAATCAGTAAATAAACGTAAAGGACAACATAACTCAATTATCAACAAGATTCAGGAAAATCAAGGATAAATGCACGACATCACCCTTCGTGCTTTAAAACTCTCTTACCAAAACAATAATCACAAGAAATAAGGGCAAGGAAATAAATGAAACTACAATAAAATCCCAGCAAGGGAACAACAGTACAACAATCGAATCCCGACGAGGGAACAATATCAAAAATCTTCTTCTCTTTTCCTTTTCATATTTACTTCACAACTCACTTCACAACTTAAGCCAATGTTCTATAGGGTTCAATTGCCAATTATACTTCCACAATTTATTTTACATCTTGAGCCAACGCTTTTCAATATTTAAATACCAATATTACTTCCACGAGCCTTGATCAACAATAGAAATTATCACAAAAGGCATGAACAATACAAACGGATTCACGTTAATCATAGTATAAGACTCACGGGCATGCTTTACACTAATGTATAGATACTCGTCACCATGACTATACGTCGTTGTAGACATGTGATTTTTGACCCTCCTCAAGATTTTTCACATTTTAACGCGTAAATATTTTATTTAGGCACAATATAAATATTTTAAGTAATTTTGACTCTTTTATTTTATTTTATTACAAGAAAAACAAAAAATCACAAAAATAGGTTCATTAATATTTTGTAGTCATTTTTAATCTAAAAAAACTTTTAAAAAAATATACAAAAATAGTATCGTATTTTTATTTTAATATGATATTTGAAAATACAAAAATAGATATGTTTTAATGGTTAGTTTTATTTTAATAATTATTTGAATAGTAGGACTAATTAATAAATGAGACCGTATTTTTAATCTCGTTTGCATGGAAAGAATAGAACTTGGGCTCGAGCAACTCATTTTTAGGCCTAATTTTGGACCTAGCCCACAATTGTCAAGCCCATAATTCCTAGGTCCATACCCCTTAACCTAAAAACCCTACCAAAAAACCTACAATATAAAAAAGAAGCAAAGTCTAAGACTAAAAAGACGAAGAAAACAACGCTGAAAGAAGGCGAAAAAAAAGGGACAAAAAGCTGAAAAGCAAAATCAGTGCAGCCTTTCAGAAGGGACCCCCCCTGCCCATCGTCCTCTCCAAACGACCAAAGCCCTACGCCGAAGAACCCATCGTTGCTGCTTCCTCTTCCCCGATTGAAAAACCAAAAAATCAACCCACGACCCTTCCCCGTTTTGCTGACGACAAAACAGTAGGACGCACAAACAGACGGAACCAAATCTGACCGAAAATGTATGATTCCGACGACTTGCCATAGAATCCGGCAAACCGGGTTCGAACCCAGTGGTAAACCTAGCTCCAAAACTCCCTGAAATTAACCCAAATAAGTGCGAAAGTCAGCTCGAAATCGCTACCCAAATCCATGTCGAGTGAATTTGTTCAGGTCGCTGTGTCCGGTCCGTCGTGGTGTTCGTTGATACGCTGTCCTAGATTCCGTCTATTTTGAGTTTCTGTCGAGGTTGCGGTGTCGATTTTTGTTTGTGTAATCACTGGACACTCTGAGATATTGAAAATTCACCATTCAGGTGCAATTCTTCCTTCCTCTAATATTTCTCTAATGGTGTGGTTGAAATATGATAAGAATTATAGGGGATTCCCATCTATTGTGATCGGAATTTGATCTAATTTTAATAGAGTTTGGGTTTGGAATTAGCTGCTAGTTGCGCTCAAAAGAGATATTTGTCGATCTGTTTTTGTTATCCGATGTTCTCTCTTGCTGTTTGATGTGTTTGAATGTGAGTAATTGAAAAATATGAAACGTTTAGGCACATAGCTTCATTTTGGGTTCGACAGAGTTGCCTTCGATTCATTGAATCTTTATTTCATCTGTCTTGGTTAGTTTCTTAATATCAGATTTGGAGTAAAGTGAATTTATCAGTTGAAAATTGAAAGCGTCCAATATTTAATGACGGGGTAATAAATTATTGAATTACAGCATTTAGCCTTTACTATAGCACTAATTTTACGAGCATGTGTATTTACAAGACTTGTCTGGAAAAGCATTTGAGGTATATATATACTGCATATTGGAAATATGAATTTGTACGGAGTTGGTTGGATTCACTGTATGCATTGTTTTGTAGGAAGAATGTTATATCTTTGTAAGATTGTGATGAATATTTGATTGGGTCCTACTTGGATTATAATGTTTGTAAGCATCTGGCATTTTATTAATCGAATTGAACGCATCTTGACTGAGGAAATCAATAGCGTAACGTTGCATTACTTACAAAATTTATGGCCCTCACGAGCTAGCTTAGAAATCTCTTGATTAGAATAAATCGAGGTGCGACATGACAAACAAAAATGACAATTGCATGGTCCTCGCTTAGTTAATATGTGAATCCTTAGAATTCGAGGTGTGCCATTTAGTTGAATTTTCATTGCCCTCCCAAAGTTGAAAGTACTTAGTTGCTTTAGGCACACTATTTTAAAATTACCTTCCTAAAATCGGGTGTGCATTTCATGTGACCCAAATCAAATCCCAAAATGTTGAATAAAATATGTTTAGGATTGCGGGTGCATTTCATGTGGCGCGATCCAAAGACATGTTTTAAACGACATTTAATCTTCTTTAAAAATTAAATAAAAGCGGTTGAAAAGTTAAAATCGACACATAGGTTCATAATTGATTAAAATCAGATAATTAAGCCGAATATAACAGTTAAGTGACCGTGCTAGAACCAAGGAACTCGGGAATACCTAACACCTTCTCCCGGGTTAACAGAATTCCTTACTCGGATTTCTGGCTCGCGGACTGTTAAATAGAGTCAAGTTTTCCTCGATTCGGAATTCAACCGGTGGCTTGGAACACCATAAATCTCCCAAGTGGCGACTCTGAATTTTAATAAAATAAATCCCGTTTCGATTGTCCTTTAATTGGAAAAATTCTTTTATTCCCTTTGCGGGGTGTAGTAAAAAAGGAGGTATGACAGCTCTGGCGACTCTGCTGGGGATCGAACCCAGAATCTCTGGTTCGGGGTTCAAGAATTCGAACTTAGAATAATTGTTATAATTGGCTTTATCCATTATCTGAATTTGTTACATGATTTAGTCCTAATGTGCTAATTGATTGCTTTTACCGCTTTGATATTCCGTGAACTGTATATAAATTGTTGCGAAATCCCTCTTCTCTTTGAGTCTTCTAAATCATGAAGAAGTGTTCACTTCGTGTGACTTCTTTTCTGTTAGAGTCATATTACAAATTTAGAACGAGGTTCGGACAAGTTGCAAAGTCGATGAAGCTTTTGTATTCCTGGTACGCTGCCCCCTCGGCTCGAGCTGTCCGCTCGGGTAAGCCAGGTCTAGAACAATAAACCCAGGTTTTGAACCTAGAAAAACAAGACCTCATGTCGGATCCCTAGTAGGAACGTTTGTTGCATCACATGCATTTGACTTAGGGGACTCAACAAAGGGGTTGGGTCCATCTAGGACAGGTGTACCCAAAATAACAGACCATCTTGATGCATCCCGTGTGCTACATGTTGCATTCTTTCAAGGGTAAAAGGGTCATTTGGCGGACCAATAGTAGTTGAGGGCAAATAAAAAATGAAGAAAGAAAAAAAAAGAGAAAAAGATAGGGTGAAGTGTGAAAATAAATCAAGTAGGGCCTAGTTATGTTTTTTTTTGTTATATTCTATTAAGAAAAAAGAAAAAGAGCATGGAAGCTTCAAAAAGATTTTGAACTTTTTATCATTTTTCAAAAATAAAAAAAAATAAAAAAAAAATCCAAAAAGATTTTATATGTTTCATCATTTTTCGAAAAAAAAAATGTGTTTTCTATATGTCAGTTGTTTTTTCTATTTATTATTCTCGCCCGTATCCAATCTGCCCAAATTACGCATACCTGATTCTCGTCTTTCTGGGCGTGATACGTAGGCAACCCACATAGGGTCCGGTCTTCCTAGTAAATCTTAGGTTCTTAGTTTTGCGGGGTCTTAGCCAAATTTTGCACTTCTAGCCACCTTTGGCCAAATAAGCCATTTTGCAAAAATAGCCTCAATCATGTCTTGCATGTGTCTTAGGGAATGTTATTGTCTTACATAGTGTTGGTTTAAGTTTTCTCATACAGGTGTGGATCTACTTACCGGAGTTTGAGCATGACAGATACCCCAGGATCACTACATTCAGAAGCTGCTCGAGGAGTCGTTTTATGTTTTTGAGTTAATTATTTTTGTTTTATTTTCTAGTCCTGTATAGTAGTATTTAGTCTTTTAGGTGATGTTAGAATTTGTATTGCCTAGTTAAGTTTGCATAGTCTTTTGTCATTGTATTTCTTATTTTGCATTTGGAAATGTGTTACAAGTCAAAAATCGAAAAAAAAGAAAGAAATTTTGCGTTTTTATATTTTCGTTATAAGTTTTCTTTAGAATATTAATTCTAGAAATGAGAAAAAAAAAATTCTTTGAGATTGTTTTTTCTTTAGGCAATTAATATCAAAATAAAAATTGTTTTTATATTTTCTTTACTATATTGGGACCAAAATTCAAAAAAAAAAGAAACTTTTCTTGTAGTACCTCTTTAAAAGTTTTCTTTAAGGCATTAATTCCAAAATCCAAAAAGATTTTCTTGTGAGGTGTTTCTTTGGGAAATTATTGAAAGATGAAAAAAAAATCTTTTTATTTTCATTAGAACTTTAAGATATTGTACATAGAAAAAAAACATACTTTATCTTTTGTTTGTCATTAGAATTTTGAAATCCAAAAACAATTTTTGTCTTTTTCATTTCTCATTACGAATTATTCTTCGGGGATATCAAATGAAAATTCAAAAAAAAAAAGAGTCAAAAAATATCGTTCTCCCTTCTAGGATTTTTCTTTAATAGAGTATTTGTTTCAAAAAAAAACCGTTAAGCTTGAGTTTAGAATAGGTTATAGAACATTAAGTCTAGAAAATTCAAAAAAGAGATTTGTTTCTTTTATTTCTTTTTCTCATCAGAGTAGTCACTAAGGTAAAAAGAAAATGAAAAAGAGAACGTTAGTTTGTTTGCTTTACTCCCGATCTTCCACAACTACGCAAAGATCTGATTCATGCGAGGTCATGATACGTAGGCAACCTACATAGGGTTCAATCGAATCATTTTTTTATTAAAAGAATGTGAAAAAAGGGAAAAGAGAAAAAAAAAGATAATATGAGATCATGGGATGTAAGAATGAGAGGGAAGAAAAGAGCGATAATCAGAAAGAAAGGACGAAGGAAAATGATCAAGCAAGTGTTGGAAAAGAAAAGAAAAGAGAGGATTGAAATGAACAAATTGGGATGATGCCAACTGATCTTTGTACTCTCGAAGTCATTTTAAAACCGATAACTACGGCTAGGTGCATTGCACATAAAGTGAGATTATCTTATGTTAATTGCCCTAACGCTAATGTGATGGCTTCATTTTGTTATATTCATAGCAGAAGGGTGGTTGGTTTGTAGTTTTTAAAGTGGTAACTCCTCTCCACATCATAAAGTCAAAAGGCAATGGCAGACAACAACAAAAATGAGTTGGTTAATACAGGTGCCCAAAAGCAATTGGTTGAACAGGACAATGGGTTGGTTGAAGAGGTCAAGATGTTAAGACAACACATGGCGGACATGTATCAGGCCTGGATGACTGGGAAGGCACCACCCTTGCCACCACCTAGCTTCCTAAATACTATCCTTACCCAAGCTCCGAACACAATGCTAGAAAATTCTCCATACTCTCTAGATCTACCCGCTTATCACAGCTTTCCCAACCGTCTTAGTAGCTCCATCACTCATCCTCCAATTACCTCTCCCCAAAATCGCCCTCCTGTCACATCTACTATCCCCGACAATGAATACTCATTCAAACCTCATGATGTCCAATATTACCCCTCAGAGGTTGCCCACAAGGTTTCCAACTCATACAAGAAGGGTCCGCGGGATGGGTCTCATGTTGTAAATGAAGAGTTCACGGGAAGAAAAGGGCGAGATGGGATACCCAGGAGGCTGAAAGGCATAGAACAGTGTTACACCCTATGTTTTCGTATGTTAGAGTATTCGTAAGTCAATTGATATAAGCTCAGAAATGAGATCAACTTTGAAAGTATGTAAAGTAAGTTAATCCTTTTATAATTGTGGTTACAAATCTTTATGATCATGAATAACGAGTACCAAAAGGGTTGGAAAGCTTAGGTGCTAAATGAATTAAAGAAAATAAGTTTCGTCGAATGTCGACAAGTTTGGAATGTTATAACCTATACTTTTGGGGTGAGACAAGGGTGATTAACATGATGATGAGGTTATGTTATGAGTTAGTTTAGTCTTATGATAGTCGTGTGTTATGTTTTTAAGTCAAGCAAGTTGTGGAACAAAAGTTAGAAAAGGTCATAACAAGTTACATTCAAAAATGAGTTGAAACTTAGGTTAAATGTAGCTGAACCTTTCTCCAAACATACTTTGAATCAAGGGATGATATACATATGAAATTGCATATCTATGAGTCTAGTTTTCAACTCATTAAACCGCTTATCAATACGATCTCGGAGTATAGAGATATTCGCATTTTCGCGAGACCGCGCAGCTAGTAGGTGACAAGTAGGTGCATTACCTACTTGCCAAAAAGAGAGGCCTCAACTAAGTTGGTCAAGAGGGTACTTTTAAGGGATTATAAACTCACTTATTTAACCTATCTTTCAGACCAAGAAAACCTAATTTAACCCTTGCAACTCCTCCCCAAAAACCCCAAACAAACCCTAGGGTATTCCGGGTGTTACGACGCGATTCTAGTGCTGAAAAGTCCGGACAGCTTGCTAGTTTCTCTTTCTCCTTCTTGTAGCCGTGTTGAGGAACTTATTTTTGATAAAAAGGACCGGGTTTCGTGGGTTATACTCAGTACAAGGTAAGTTTATGCTTCTCTTTCCATTATCTATGTGTTTGCGAGTTATAACTCGATCGTAAAGAATAGACCTAGCTAGTTTCGAAAGAATGGTATGTTGTTTGTTCTTCTGTAATGGTTGGATGGTTGTAAACTTATTTTGAAGTTGAATTCATGGCTGGTTTGTTGGATAAGAGGTATAATGATGTACTTTTGGTTGTATTTTCCAATTTGAAAGAAAAGACAAGTCGAAACGTGTTTAAGTAAATTGAAAGATTATTTTTGAGTTGATGAACTTGTGGGAATATTTTTGGGCTTTTTATGTTGGTATTGGGTTATCTATTTTACTACTATTTTTATGGAGTTGAGAGGAGGAAGGTTGTGGAGAAACACCACATAATGGCAAGGTTGTTTGTTGGTCGTTCGTCGTAACATTTTCGGGTTGGTTGACACTATTATGGTTGTCGTGTTGTGTATGAAGTGATAGGGGTATGTTGGGCTGTTTGTGATTGTTTTGACTAGTGTGACGTCATATATATAGGGGAAGTTCTGTTTGTTTCATTGTAAAATAGGTTGTGGTCGATACATAATAGTTACGACGCTTAAACGATAACGAGAGTGTCATTTCTCTTATTGTAGACTAAGGAGCCGTGAAATTGCATAGCTTGAGGTTGGGAAGAATATACAAGGTATGTTAAGGCACTTACTTCTTTCTTTTGGCATGATCTAAAGTGACATGAACATAAACGGTACGCTAATTCATAACGGATCTACTCCTAGAAACTAAGGTTGTCCATGTTGTTCTTTCCTTATAAAGTTATTCTAAACAAGTGTGTATGATCCTTAAATCCCACTAAGGTTCATATTGATGGTAGGGATGTCCATAATGTTAATCGAAGGTGCAATGACCTTACATCACTCCGAAAGGGTTAGAACGTGATTCCATGAGTCGAGCATGCATTATATATATGTATCTATTTTACTCTACCGAGTCGCGCTATAGTCGGCCGGGTATGGCACCTATTGTGTAACCACTGATCAGTTGGGTTTACCGAGCTCCACGTGGCCGGGTATGATTCTACCGAGACTTATGATGACTGGGTACGTTTTTACCGAGTCCTCTTTGAGGCCGGGTACGATATGATGATGATGATGATGCCCACAGAGGCGAATGTTTTTAAAAAGTTCATGTACATATATGTATTATGCATTTCATGTCAGTATCCCCCCGAGGCACTCAGATGTTACAGGTTGTATCTCCTCTATCTCTCCTTACATTACTGTTCTTGTTTATGCTTTCCTACCTTACATACTCGGTACTTTATTCGTAATGATATCCCTTTTGCTTGGGGATGCTGCGTGTCATGCCCGCAGATCCCGATTGATAGGTTGACAGTCCTCCTAGTAGGTTATCAGCTCAGCGAAGGTGTTGGTGCACTCCACTTGCTCCGGAGTTACCTAGTTGGTCAGTATGCTTTGGATATGTATTGATTNCCCTGTAGATATCCTTGTGCGCCAGGTGATCCTCCCCAATGCCACTTCTCTCCACGGAACTCCCAAAATCGTACATCACTTTCCCAGTACCTAGCTCCACAAAATGCCTATTCACCCCCACGAGCCTACCAAAAACCTCCTGGATCAGGTTTTCGACCCAATCAGGCATTTAAGAATGAGAGGTTGCTGAAAAAAGAAAAAGTTTTCACTCCATTAAGAGTGTCATATGCCAGTCTGTTCCAAAAGTTGAAGCAATTGGACATGTTGAAGCCGACCAAGATAAAAATGTTAAACCCTCTTCCAAAGAAGTTTGATTTTTCTCAAAGGTGTGCCTATTGCTCAGATGCCCCATGGCATGACATAGAGAAGTGTTGGAATCTAAAGAATGCAATTCAGAATCTTATCGATGCAGACGACATTGTCGTGCAAAATCCAGATGCAGCAGACACTAGCCAAAGTCCATCAACTGTTTGTAATGAGATGCATATGGTGAATTTGATTTGTTTTGAAAAGGAATATGAGAATTCTTCTGAGATCCTTGAAGGTCCACGCGCTGCAAAGTTTTCAGTGCTATCAGAGGTTGATCTTAAGAACGAGCCAGCAAAGGGAACCCAAAAGCAATTTATTAAGAACAATGTGATGGAAGTTTGTGAAGGTCCTAGTAATGTTGATGCGGAATTCAGTGGCTAAGATGCCGAGCTTGGAAATTGGAGGACGCTCCTTTCTTGGTTAGCCAGGGAGGAGTTTTGGTGGTTTATTTAGTTGTCATTTCTGTTGGCCGGGTTATTTCAGGGTTGTAATCCGGATATTGTCTTGTGACTCAAACCCTTCTATCCTTTTATTTTGCCTAGCTTGTTTAGTCATAGTAGCCTGTCTAGTGTTGTCTAGGTTTGTAACCCCAGTTTAGTTTGTTTGTTTTGTTGTCCAAACCCTTTCACCATATGTTTAATGCAATTTTCTATTTTCTGTAATTTCTAATCATTTTTGTTTAGTTCTCTTTTCTTTTTATGGTTCTTTTCCTATCG